AGCATGTTTATTCATATATTAAAGAGCATCAGGTAGAAATAGTGTTGGACAATACCAAAGTGACAAATAGTGTTCATAAGATGGGCTTTGCATTGCAATATTTTTCTCTCCACACCATCCCACTTAATTCATATAGTAAATCAGTTCAGTGGCTAACATTTCTTTAAGGGGTAGAGAGAGAAAGAGAAATATTGATGTGAGAAACATTGATCAGTTGCCTACCATGTGGGCCTCAACCTAGGTATGTGCCCTGACTGGGAACTCAACCTGCAACATTTTTGGTGTGTAGGATGATACTCCAGCCAACCGAGTCATCTGGCTAGGGTGTGGTTTTCTTTTAATAACATTTTACTAGCACATATTTTGTGAAGGATCTGAAGAATAAACAAAAATAAACAAAATATAATTCCTTTTACTCTAAAAGTTAACCTTTAATATGGGAACATTCTCACAAATTCACATATTACTCCAAATTTAGCAGAATAAGTTTATTGAAAGAGAAGATCATATAGAATCATGGTAAGAATAGGTGTTATAACTGGTGGATTATGAATGGTTTCATGCAGAAGGTTGTATTTAAAATTAGTAGACTTTCAAGAGGTTGGACAGACACTTTAGGCATGCACTAAATGTTTTTGAACTAGAAAAAAAATGACAACAGCTCTGTGTTTAGGAAAATAATGATGTCACATTAGCTAGAGTTAGACACAGAAAACCCAGGAGACACCATATGATCAGCAAGATAGATATTAGCAAAGTCCATGTGAGAATTAATGAGGGCCTCTGGATAGCGTGGCAGGAGCAAGAACAGATACAAACATAATGTGAATATGAAATTGCCACAAATGGCCAACTCATTGGATATAAAGGTAATGGAAAATTTCTTTGAAAATTGTCTTATGTGAGTTATGGGAACTTTTTATGGGATTTAAGAATGTAAAAAAATATCCTCCCTACAGCACTATGGTGGATGAGTCTGTGGAAAATAAAAAAATAGGTAGATCAATTAGAGAACATAATACACATCCAAAGCTAGACATTAGCACACCCTGAACTATGGAGTAGCAGTAGATATTTGGATGAAAGGATAGACAATACAACTTTTTTTTTTTTTTAAGAAGAGGATAATAAAAGAGCGGGAAGAGTTTAAAAAGGTCCTCATCTTTTTACCTCCGGCTATGATGGCAGTGCAGTTCATCAAAATAAAGAACACCATGGGAGGAACATGATTCAGAAAGAAAGACAATGCACTCAGTTTTAGATACATTAAGTTCTAGGTGTGAAGTATCAGTAGGACAGTTATGTCATTAGTTTACTTTTGTTATAAATATAGATTTGGTTGTAAACAACTAAGGCTATGAATGAGATTAATAAGAAAAGAAGGACAAGGGAAAGGTGGCAGGGAAGGCTGGGCTGGGGTGCAGGGGCAGGCTGGGAGAGGACAATGGGGGCGGGCATATGTAATACTCTCAACAATAAAGAATTAAAAAACAAAGAAAGCCTTGGTAATATCATATTCAAGGAAAAAGAATAAAGAGACTTAAAATGGATATCAAGGAGGAAATTCCAAATGTATAAGGAAGAGAATCAAGACAGGGTGGTCCCACAGAAGTCATGGGAAAGAGAAATGGCCAACTATAAAATTTTTGCTGGCATAAAATATGATAGAGGCCAAAATAAAAACTGAAAATGAGCCTGTGAGTATGGTAACTTAGAAGTCATTGGTTAGTTTTGTCAAAAACAGCCTCACTCAGTGGGATGGTGATAACTAGTAGATTTACAATTCAACAAGACAAGGAAATGGATGCAGCAAAAATAACACACTTTTGAGAAGCTGGACTGTGGCCCGGCCTGTGTGGATCAGTTGGTTGAGTGTCATCCCATGTTCAATTCCCAGTCAGGACACAGGCCCAGGTTGCAATTTGGGGGGGGGGGAGGGGGCAGGGGAGGTTGAGTCAACCCATCACATAGATGTTTCTTTCCCTCCCTCCCTCCCTCTTCCTTCCTCTCTCTTAAAAAGCAATAAAAAACATCATATAACCGAAGCCGGTTTGGCTCAGTAGTAGAGCGTCAGTCTGCGGACTGAAAGGTCCCAGGTTCGATTCTGGTCAAGGGCATGTACATTGGTTGCGGGCACATCTCCGGTGGGGGGTGTGCAGGAGGCAGCTGGTTGATGTTTCTCTCTCATCAACATTTCTAGCTCTCTATCTCTCTCCCTTCCTCTCTGTGGAAAAATCAATAAAATATATTTTTTTTAAAGACGTCATATATATACATTTAAAGAAGCTAATTGTGATCAGTATAGCTAGAGAGCTTGATAAAATGAGATATTATAAACAAAGGCTTATAATATCTTATAAAATCTCATGGTTTTCCCTTTGTTTTGTTTCTAGGATGGGAGGAAACTGAACATGTTTATAAAGAATAAGAAAGGAGGAAGTTGAAAGGGGTGTTTTGAATATAACAAAAAGCAGGGGTAAACTGGAAAATGAAAAAGCAGAGGAGAAAAAGCTAACCTTTAGTAGAAGAGGAAACACTTGTTACTGAAATACTGATACAGAAGCAAAGGCAAAAGAAAAGGTGAGTAGAGATTGATATTAAATAGATATGCGATTAGAAAAAAGAAGCTTGTAATTAATGCAAACATGTTATGTGATCAGATGCTAATAATGAGAGAGCAATGGGGTGGAACTCATGGAAAGAGGTTTACAATAGCAGTTTTGAGGAGAAGAGGATACTAACAATGGTACAGAAAAGAACTACTAAAAGGAAGTAAATCACATATTTAAAACCCATCATAAAATTATGGAACGGCCCCACCAGAAATTTTAAGCCTCAAGGTATAACAAAGCACTTATTTAGGAATTCATATAACCTACTAATGTCATTTTAAAAATCATAATTTTATGATAGAAATAATCATATTTATCTGATTTGTGGAAAGAAAATATAACTAAAGGAAAGCTAAAAATTTAGAGTTTGTTAGAAATAAAAATCTGACCAAAGTGGTTTTAAAATATAACAATTACTTTAACTTATTTTCTATACTAGTGACCCAGTGCACAAAATCCATACACATTAAAAGGGGATTAATTAGAGGAAATATTTTAATATTGCTTTTACCCTTTCTCTATAATAGAAGTGTCAGAGATGAAAGAAAATTAGTAAAATGTATTGTATATGAAAGCTTTCCTCCTCTCAGAGTCTGGGGCTCACAATGGGACTCACATGCACCCCCCCCCACCACTGGGCTAAATCCAGCCCAGCCAGTCCTGCCCTTGTCAAGCCCTGCTGGGCAGGGGATGTAACCTCAGGTCCCCCATCAAGCCCCACTGGGCAGTGGCATGCATGTCCTGAGGCCCCTGTCAATCCCCACGTGGTGGGGGGGCGTGGCCTGAGGTCCCCCAGCCTGGCACTGGGGTGGGAGGAGCAGCCTGAGGTACCCTAGCCCAGCACCAGGACCGGAAGTGCACCTTGAGGTCCCCTGACAAGCCCCAGGGGGTGGGGGAGGGCGTCGCCTCAGGTCCCCTCATTAAGGCTCCTTATGGGAACTTGGCCTCAGCTGTGTGTGCAGCCATCTTCGTGATGGTCAGTTACCGTGTTCCCTCTTTATTAGATAGGACTAGAGGCCCGGTGCATGAAATTCATTCACAGGGGGTGAGAGGGGTGTCCCTCAACCCAGCTTGCATCCTCTCCAATCTGGGACCCCTTGAGGGTGAGATAGGGCCTAAACAGGCAGTCTGATATCCCTCTCACAATCCAGGACTGCTGGCTCACAACTGTTTACCTGCCTGCCTTCCTGATTACCCCTAACCACTTCAGCCTGCCAGCCTGATCACCCCCTAACCATTCCCATGCCAGCCTGTTTGCCCCCAATTTCCCTCCTCTGCCGGCCTGGTCACCCCTAACTGCCCTCCCCTGCAGGGTTGATCACCTCCAACTGCCCTCCCTTGCAGGCCTGGTGCCTCCCAACTGCCCTCCCCTGCTAGCCATCTTGTGTCCACATGGGAGCAGGATCTTTGACCACATGGGGGCAGCTATCTTGATCTTGTGTGTTGAAGTGATGGTCAATCTGCATATCACTCTTTTATTAGATAGGATAGAGGCCTGGTGCATGGGTGGGGGCCAGCTGGTTTTCCCTGTAGGGTGTCCCAGATCAGGGTGGGGGTTCCCTTGGGGCGTGGGGCAGCCGGGTTGAGGGGCCTGTGGTGGTTTACAGGCCAGCCATGCCCCCTGGCGACCCAAGCAGAGGTCCTGGTATCTGGAATTTATTTACCTTCTACAATTGAAACTTTGGAGCCTGGAGAGGAGCCAAGCCTCCTGCTCCATTCTTGGCTGCTGCCATTTCTATAATTGAAACTTTGTATCCTTGAGTGGAGGCCTGGGCCCCCCAGAGTGTATGGAAAGCTTTGCTTCCTCCGTTGTCTGTGAAACCCAAGCCTCCCTTCTGGTAGCCATCTTGGTTGTGTTAATTTGCATACTGCTCTGATTGTTTGGTGGGCGTGGTTGCTGGGTGTGGCTGGTTGATGTAGGGGAGTGGTGGTTAATTTGCATATTACTCTTTTATTAGGTAAGATAAGCAGAAAAATTAGTGTACTCAACATGGAAGGCTAGGATACCCTGAACTGCCTAGACAACCACATGGTAATGTCTATATTTGAAACATTCAAATCTAGCAATTTCTAGGTAACATGTAAATCAACTATAGTGATGTTAGGCAGAGAAGTCTGTCCAGCCTGATATCTAAAGATTCTAAGGATCATGAGAGCCCACAAGCAGGTCCTAAAAATCCACCAGTTTCTCAATATGCCACTACAGTGACCTCAGGGTGTAGATCTCCTGAGGTGGGATTGGAGAAAACTGAATTACAACACAAAAGTCTTCCATACCAAAAAAATGTCTAGTCCAAGGAATTATTGATAGTTCAATTATAGAGATGAAGTACAAACCATCATTTACTTGGTTGAACCTCTTCAACTGAATATGTTTTCTCTTAATTGCTATAGCAAGAGCACTGTATGATCAACAAAATTCTGTTATATTTTCCTATAATTAGAAGGGTATAAAAAAGCCACAGTTTGTGCTATAAATGTCATCCTTTTTCGGATTATCTATGAAACTTCAAAGACTTTAGTGGCTCCCATCATCCAAAGCAGTATTTGAAATTCCAATAAATTTCAATAAAAACTAATTAAGGAAACCATATTAAATATTATTAACCAGTTAATTGCCTTTATTATCAGGAGTAATAAAAGTAAATCCACACTATACTACAAAACTCTTCATAAGTAGCTGCTAGTTTAAAAAGAAATATGAAAAAAAATAAAAATAAATATTAAAAACAAAAACCTTTTGCATATTCTCTAATTTCTCCTTTTCAACTTCAAACTGTTTCATCCAGCAATGTCTCTTTTCTTCTTCTTCTTGAAAGTGCTTTTTTTCTCTATCCCTCTGAGCTTTGAGAGTTTCTTTCTATTGGTTTTCTAGTTCTGTTTATCTTGCCAAACTTCAAAAGATTGCTTACATCTTTCTTCCACTTCACAGTACCCAAAATTTATTTCACCATCATCTGCAGTCATAAAAAAAAAATGTTGTTTAAGATTAAAACTGTCAAAAGTGATCTATTGTGAAGTATAAAAGTAATTTTGAAAAGAAGAAATAATTTCAACATATTACCAAAAAAAAAGTGATAAAATAAAAATCCTATACAATAAAAGGCTAATACGCAAATCGACCAAATGGCAGAATGACTGGCCACTATGCAAGATCTGCCCCCTAGTGATCAGTGCACTCCCACAGGGGAAGCACCACTCAGCCAGAAGCCAGGCTCATGGCTGGCGAGGGCAGTGGTGGTGGCAGAATCCTCTCCTGCCTCTGCAGCAGCGCTAACGATGTCTGACTACCAGCTACGTCCACTTCCATGAGAAGCTGCCTAAGTCATCAGTCAGACATCCCCCGAGAGCTCCCGGACTGCAAGAGGATGCAGGCCCAGTTGGGGCAATCCCCTGAGTGCAGGAATTTCATACGCTGGGCCTCTAGTAAAAAAAAACATAGTCTTAAATTTATATGGAAATTCTACTGCGGTCAACAGAGAAAACACATAACTTGCTTTAAACTACTCAACTAAACTTAATCTAAAATTACAGAGTGTGTGTGCTCCTGGGTAGTTATTATATTCTGAAGAAATTCAAGGGTAGGTATGTTAATTGCAGTCAGCTATATATGTAGAAAAATTACAAACATATTTCAATCTAGGTACTTTAGGAAGCATAAACAAAACTATTAGAGTATGTAATTAAATAAGCACAACATTATATATGATTTTATTTTCCTAACTGTCAAGAGAAAAAAGTATATTTCCTAAGATAACTATAATCAGATAAAAATTATCAAAAATATTATTGAGTTTTGTCCACCTAGCAAAATATGTTCATCCACATGTTCATAAGCACCAGGCTCTGGAACAGAATTAGGATGGTCACGGTGGGTTTTACTTCTCAGAAATTCTTCTTTTTCTATTTCAGATAATATCTAAGAGGTTAAAAGAATACCAGTGATTAAAGAGAACCAAAATAGAGCATCAAGCTATCAGTTTGATAATATAGAAAATATGTCTATTACACATAGCTACAACTCTTTTTTCAAACTTTATTTTTGAAAGTATTACAAATATCCCCTTTCCCTCCCCTCCCCTGCCCACTGAAGCCCTTCATCCAACTCCTGCCCCCTCCCCAGACTGTCCCCACAGTATTTTTTGCCCATCGGCTATGCATATATACATATTTACCTCTTGTAAATTATGCTGCTATGAACATAAGAGTGCATATATTCTTTCTGATTGGTATTTTGGGATTCTTAGAATATATTTTTAAAAATGGGATCACTGGATCAAATGAGAGTTCCATTTTTAATTTTTTGAGGAAAATCCTCACTGTTTTCCACAGTGGCTGCACCAGTCTGCATTCCCACTAGCAGGGAATTAGGGTTCCCTTTTCTCCTCATCCTCACCAGCACTTATTGTTTGTTGATTTATTGCTATAACTTTATTTACTTCAAACCCTTCTCCAATGCATTTCTAAAGCACATTCATAATCATTATCTTCATGGTGAATAATAATGTTTTGCCCATGCAAGCTCACTCTATTTTAAGCTTATGGTTTTTAGAACTCTAGTCACTCTATAATATTAATCCACAGCAATTTCCTAAACTGCTTGATAATAATTTTAAAATATTTTTACTAATATTTGTTTACCTCCTAATACATTTCTATCTTTCTTATCCGAAGTATTTTTCACATATACAAATTTCTGATCTATTAAATATGTTTAAAAACTAGGACTATTACCTACTTTAATATGAATTATATATGATGTAATCCTGATAAATACTTTTCTATATTTAGATTCCATCAGACTCTAGATGGAAAAAAATATTATCTATTCCAATGAAATACCAGTATAATTCTAAGTTAATATTTCAAGCTTTAGTGTTATCAAAACAGCAAGTAAGAAAATACATATAATTTTCATATTATTTTAAACATTTTCTGGAGAATAGAGTCAGATAAAATGAGAGTTAAAAAATGAAGCCAAGATATTGAAACTGTAGAATAGATTTGTGGGAGTTTTAACCCAAAATGCTAACTCTCCTTTACTCTTATATTTTATGAGTATTCAATTATATCTTTAAAGAAAAACTAACATAAGATGTTCTCAGTTGAAATTTTCTATACAGTATTTAAAATCTCTGCTGGAATACGTTATATTCCTAAGCAAGTCAATAAACACTAGTATATGTTCATTTTTGGGGTCAGAGTTTTGGGAGGGGGGGAAATCAATATCATTCTACTCTTTAATCTACATACACATAAAATTCCCAAGTAGTGATGTTTCATTTTTCCCCAAATTTCTATATCTTATATTTTTATATATTGAAATTTGAGTTGTTTTATTTTATATGCCAAGGAAAATATAAACTAAAAATGATTTGCTTGAATACTACTTAATTTTTAAATCAGTGAAACCAGTGAATATCATCTGATGTAAGAGGGAAGGTAATAATGAATAATTTTAGTTAAATGTTGAGCATATACCTTCACTAATTGATCTGAGTTTTCTTCATGTTCAGTGGATAATTCTACCCTTAAGCGCATATAATTATTAGAAACTGCTCCATAAGTGTAGCCTAGAGAAAGAAAAAAAATATTATAACTTTAAATATTAGAGTAAGGAACAAAATATTAAAATTTCAAACCTTCCAACATTCTTTTAATCCCAAATTCTATCATAGCATATTATTGATCAGTAAGTCAAAACCACAGAAAAGCAAAAAGAATAAAGAACAGAAGAAATCTGTAATTTTTACTCTAACATGTAAGAAATTTTTATATCACTAATTTGGTATCCTCTTTTATATTCTGACTAAAGTTTATTCTCTACATACACATAATAAGGTTTTGTTTGATATTGTAATATCCTGATTAGAAATCAAGAAAAGTTTAACTTTACCTGCTACAACTAGCAATATAATTTTACACAAGATATTGCAATCACTTTAATAAAACTACTAGTTTGAAAGATTATAATTACTAACATGCAAATGAAGTAAACTTTCTTGAGTTTGTGAGTTTTTGTTTTATTTTATCAAGTCTTTGTATTATCTGTGTAAATGTAGTTATGTTTCTTTTCCTTATCCATTTAATGTGTTAGATCATGGTAACATTTCCTAACAGTAAACTATTTATTAAGTTAATCATTTTGTTGGTTAACTTTCCATTCACAACTATTTTGTTAGATACAGATTTTCGTCTTCAACAACTATGCACAATCTTCTGGCATGCTTTTCTGAGTGAGGGGCTGTAGAGCAAAAAGTAACATTCTCCAGATCCCCTTTACACTAGGTTTCTAAAGGTGACTTACGTTCTATCAATTGATATATCTGTGTAATTATTTATTTTTACAAAATATTATGTGTGAAGAGAAGCAGGAAGCCATATTTTAACTTTTTTTTTTTGGCCCAACCATGATAGATAGAGAGAGCTTTGGTTTGGAGACAGGAGTGCATAGTAGATAATAAATGTCTCTGACTTCTTTAATTATATCAGATAGCAAGCTCCTGCAGCAGACAGGTTCTGTAGTGTATGTGTGCGTGTGTATTTTGTACATGTTGGATACTCAGTCTACAATCTGTTTCTTAAGTTCTGTTAGCAATCTGTTACTTACTGTCGTAACAAATCTCCAAAGATTCTTCTCCCACATTCCTTGGTATGCACATTCTGCATAGATCCTCTTGCACAGAAGCTAGACTAACCCTGTGTAACCATCAGGACTGGTAGGAATGATGTTGCATCATCTGAGAACAGGTCATAATGAAACCTTAAAAGGTCCCACCTTAGTCTCTTGGTATTTTGTTCGTGATATGGTACTTCTCACCCACCATGCAGCTAGCATGCAGCCCATAGGGACAAATCACATGCAGGTGCCTCCTGCTGATAGAACCAAATGAACACGCAGCTAATAATGAGCATAAATTGCCAGACATTTGAGTGAGCCATCTTACAATTAGAATCCAGTAAAGATTTCAGGTGACTGCAGCCTTACTCAACATCTGATGCCAAATGCATATGATACCAAAGCAGGAACTGCTTGGCTTACCCCAGTCAACCTACAGAATCATAAAAGATAATAACAAATTGTTATTTTAAATCACCAAGTTTGTTTTGCAGTAATAACCAGAACATTTATTCTAACCCATAAAAACAAACACATAAACAAATACCCTCAATGGCTTCTGATGTCTACAACTGGGAGCCCTAATCAATACATTTATATTCATAAATTGAGTTAGACTCTGGCTTCTACTGTCTGTGTTATGACTATACAATTGTATTTTTAAAATATGTACCTTTTTATAACTAAATTAGTATATAGCCTACCGATTTTTGCTCCTGGATGATTTGTAATAATTCTATTGCAAAATTATTTCCAGTTTCTAAAGACATCTGAAAAGAAATATATGTCCACCATCTTGCCAGATTATTGATGTAAAAATATTTCTATTTTTTGTCAATAAATATTGATAATTTTGATTTTCTTGGAAAATTATTCATTAAAACTATTAAACCTATTTGACTACAACTGTATAGGAGATCCTCTCATAATTTTCTAAACCACTGCCATAATTGTAGTTACATAAACTTTCATATAACTAATCTAAACCAATAAAAGAGAAACATGCAAATTAACCATCACTCCACTATGCCCACCAGGCAATCAGGAGGGAATATGCACATTAGGAGGAGAAACATGGCGGCTGCCCAGCTGCTCCAGGCTTCGAGTGCCCATTGAGGCAGGACGCCTGCTATGAGAGGGAGGGCAGGGGGTGAAGAGATCTTCAGGAGCAGCTGGCCACAGTGAAGACGAAGACTGCAGACTCCTCTGCAGTGAAGACGAAGATGGCAGACTCCAGTCAGGGTCTACAACAAAGACGAAGACAGCAGACTTTAGCCGGAGCCTGCAGCAAAGACAAAAAAAGGCAGACTCTGGCTGGAGTCTGCAGCAAAGGCAGCAGACTCCAGCTAGAGTGAAGGCTTGGGTCCCAGGTGCCAGAGTAAAACCAGTACTGGAAGCCAAGGGAAGGAAGGCCTATTGCACACATCTCTTCATGCCATGGGCCTCTAGTTTTCTATAATTGTTACCTCTGGCTTTTTTCATAATTAAGCTATATAATTGGGAATATACTTTTATTTTCATTGTATAAACCTTAGTAAAAATAAATTATCACACCATTAAAATCTCTAATACCTCAACTATAAATAATCACTGCCAAAATTTGAAGCATCTGTAGTATATAACAAATCTTTACATATCCATTCATTTATCAATAGATGCTCAGGACAAAAATCTTGGAGCCATTTTTTTCTCTTTCTTTGACACCAATCCATCAATACATCTTTTTGGTTCTTCTACCATAAAAATGGTTTCTAGAGTATGACCGTTTTCATCATTTCTACTCAAACTAGAGGCCCGGCACACCACATCCGTACACTGGAGGGCAGTAGTCCCTCAGCCTGGCTGGTGCCTTCTCACACTCTAGGACTCCACAGGGGATGTAAGCCTGCCAGCTTAGGCCCAAGCCCTAAGCCGGCAGTCAGACATCCCTCTCACAGTCCAGGGCTCTCGCAGTCCGGGACCCATCGCTCCTTATTGTCCACTTGCTGCGGAGGAGGGAGGGGCTCCCACCACCACCACTGCACTTGCCACCAATGAGCCTGGATTCTGGCTGAGTGGAGCACACTGACCACCAGGGGGAGCTCCTGTGTGAGCGTCTTCCCCTGATCAGTGCATGCCATAGTAGCTGGTTGTTCCACTGTTTGGTCAATTTGCATATTAGCCTCTTATTATATAGGACTAAAAGCCCGGTGCATGAAAATTCTTGCACTGCGGGAGTGAGGGGTCCCTCAGCCTGGCCCGTGCCCTTTCACAGCCCAAGAGTCCTCAGGGATGTCCTACTGACATCTGTGGGAGGTGACCAGACTGGTCCATCAGGGGATGGTGCCGCCCCTTCACCCCATCGCCCCCTGTGGCTGCTGAATGCCGCCCCCTCCAGCATCACCCTTCCCTCCCTCTGCCCACTGGCACATGCTTTGGCTGGCCTGGCAGCACATGCATGCCGGCCCCTGCCTACTGGTCATTCTGCTGTTCAGTCAATTTGCACATTACACTTTTATTATGTAGGATAACTCTCATCTCTAACTATTGTCATAATCCACCATGATTTATAAGAGCCCTATATGATCAGACCCTAGTATTATTCTTAGATATAATCACAAAGGCTTACTGTTCTCCAAATATATTAAGCCCACTCAATGTGTCTAGGCATTTACAATTCCTTCTTTCTAGAACATCAGCTCTCTAGATATCCTCATGGTTCATCATCTCATTCATTATCACATTCATGTGGCTTACCTTCTCAGTCATTGCTTAAATAGCAGCTCCCCCTAGGGGCCTTCCCTAACTACCCTATCTAAAATAGCAACCTCCAAACTCCATCCCTTTATTTTGAATTTGTTTTTCTTTCATAGCATTTATCTGTACCAGAACATTACATATTTATTTATTTGTTTATTACCTGTCTGTCCACACTGGAACATTAGAAAAGTAGAGTAGAAGCTTTGCCTATTCTGTTCTCTGCTGTATTCTCAGTGGCTACAAGAGATATTTTCACACAGTAATATTTGTTGATGAGTATCTGAGAATATTCACATTATGACTTATGCTATTATTTGCACAAATTACATTAAATTTTATAACAATTTAAATAATATATCATAAATATTAATGTCATTAAATATTTGTCTAATACCTTTTTAATGGGTATATTATTGAACACACCAACCTCCTGTTGAACATTTAGATGGTTGCAATTTTTCATTATAAATGAAGCCATAATTAATTCCAATGAAATCTTTTGTTATTTAATTATTCTTAGAACTAGAGGCTACAAGCAAAATTTGTGCGTGAGGCTGAGGGAGAAGGGGGAGTGTCCCTCAGCCCAGCTTGCACCCTCTCCAATCTGCACCACCCCCTTGAGGGATGTCTGACTGTCCCACTGGGATCGGGTCTCAAAGGGCAGTCTGACACCCCTCTCACAATCCAGGACTGCTGGCTCACAACTGCTCACCTGCCTGCCTTCCTGATTGCCCCTAACCACTTCAGCCTACCAGCCTGATCACACCCTAACCATTCCCATGCCAGCCTGATTGATGTCTAACTGCTCCCCTGCCAGCCTGTTTGCCCCCAACTTCCCTCCTCTGCTGCCCTGGTCACCCCTAACTGCCCTCCCCTGTAGGGTTGATCACCTCCAACTGCCCACCCTTGCAGACCTGGCCCCTCTCAACTGCCCTCCCTTGCAGGCATAGTGCCTCCCAACTGCCCTCCCCTGCTGGCCATCTTGTGGTGGCCATCTTGTATCCACATAGGGACAGGATCTTTGACCACATGGGCAGTTGGAGTGATGGTCAATCTGCATATTACTCTTTTATTAGAATAGAGGCCTGGTGCACAGGTGGGGGCCAGCTGGTTTGCCCTGAATGGTGTCCTGGATCAGGGTGGGAGTTCCCTTGGGGCATGGGGCAGCCTGGGCTAGGGGTCTGTAGTGATTTGCAGACCAGCCATACCCCTGGC